GGACTTGTTTAGGAGCCACACGAGCGGTTATCGTCGCCTGCGCTGCTGCTTTTGGAGGTGTCTGAGCAAGGCTGAAGCGCCGAGTGTAACCGGTTCACCACGATGGCACGGGCTGGCCTCGGGGCATGCCACAAGGACACGCACGCCGACACCAGTCCATGCCACGAGGACACACACACCAACACCAGTCCATACCATGAGGACACAGGCAAACACCGGCACATGACACAAGGGCATGCACGCCAACACCGGTGCACAGCATGAGGACATGAATGCCGACACTCGTGCACATCATGAGGACGTGCACACCGACACCGGTCCATGCCACGAGGACGCATACGCTGACACCGGTCCATGCCACGAGGGCACGCACGCCAGCACCGGTGCACACCACGAGGACACGCACACCGACACCGGCACACGCCTCGGCCAGACAGCAGAAGGAACAGTTCGGAAGCGATCGCTTCTGGGCAGCGGACAGCGGACTTGATAGCTCGTGGCAAACTGCTGGCCTTCATCTTTTGGGCGCTGGGCTTGGGGAGGGGGCTGACGTGGTTCAAAACAGGTATTTATGCAACAATATTCATGGGGAGCTGTACAACAGGGTTGTCAGAACTGAGAGCCGAACGTGCCTGACTCTCCTGAGTTCTCCTCCTGTAGAAGTACCGCCGCACTTGAATTTTTTTTTTTTTCCAATTTGAATTTGCAATGGTCTTTTACTGCAAATTATCATTTGGCGTGGGGGCAAGGCGCTGGGCTCTAGCACTTACTACTCTGGCTCCGCAGCGCCGTGCCCGCAGCCCGACCTCCTCCGTCAGCACGAGCCCAGTGCCCCTGGTTCGCACGCCCAGCGCGGCCGTGCCTTCCTCGCGGACGGCCCGTCTGCCCTTCGCCAGCTTCGCAGGGGTCAGGAGCCGGCGTTGCACACCAGGAGGGTGTCAGCCCGCTTGAGCTGCCCACCTCGTTTGCTCCACTGAAAAATAAGCCTAAATTAAGTGTAATAATCAAAGATGCTGTGTGGATAAGCTCAAAGCTCTTGCATGGTCAGGTAAATCCCAATCCCCATTTAAGCGTTCTCGCCCCAGCCCTGGACCCTGCGTTATTTTCCCACCCCAGCTGAGCCCAGGAGCTGGGAAGGGGACGGAGGAAGAGCCCGGAGGCTGCACAGCCTCAGCCGGCGCCCGGCTCGGCAGCGAGCGC